AATATCATATATAGCATAATGTTTACATCTCAATTTTGTTCCAAGAAGGTGGTGTGAGGTAGCTCACAGAACTGAGGAGTGGTCTTGGAGGCCTTACACACTGTCTGCTGGGAGCTCTTGTTAAGAATGATCTGGATTAAACATCTTCCCTGCTGCTGTGGGTAGGTTAACTGACCAGATGTTCTCCTGAGGTCACTCACTTCCAACTCTATTTGCTAAGATTTTAGGTTATCCTAAAGGTAACAGCAATTGCAATCAGAGAGAAAACAGGTCTATCCAGTGGTCAGTTATTTCCATGAGAACTTAGCAAACCTGTGCCATTAAGTAGCACTGCCTTGCCAGGTCAAAACACACAGCAGGCAGACCTCTGTTCCACGCATGGGAATAAGACATGGGGAACACCACAGAAGGCAATGAAATTACAGCGACACAAAACTGGCCTTGGAAATCATGTTTGTGTGGATCAATGCTTTCCCCTGCACAGACAAAAAAAGTGAATGAGGATCTTTAACCTTGCACAGGGTCTTTGCTGTGTAGGTTCAAGAGGTGCCTTGCTGGTTTTGTGGCAGACGGAAGGGTATTTTGCAAGTATCGCTTCTGAAACTCCTCCAGCACCTGCCTAGCAGAATTGCTTTTAATATCGTAGTTATTAGGAGGTTATCAACATGAGGTCGTTCCCAGGAGCATCCTTTTCATGTGCTGAATGATCCCAAGCAAGGGCAGATAAAATGAAGCGAAAGTAGGCATTTGTTAGCTGAGGAAAACACTCTTTTTTCTGGTGCCCCCAGTCACGTGCACAGACCGAGGGAAAGAAAGATTCAATCATGGTGAAGGCATTGGTCATTCAGCTCAGCTTGATTTTTCAATTTTTTAAACAGTAGGAGGCTCAGAAAGAAACAATGAGGAAAAACAGGGCTATAGAATAAGCAAATAGAGTCAACTTTTGATTCCTATGCCATTTAAATACAAATTATAGTCATTTACTCAGTCCAGAGAGCCTGAATTTTCGCTGTTTTCCAATTTAGGCAGCTGTGACAGCAGAAATCCATGAAATCCCTGCTTCAAATTTAATTGATAAGTTCACACATCCTTTTTTTCTCCTCATTCCACTATGGAAAATGTAATCTCATGTAGTTATTTGCGTGACAAACAGTACAGACTGCATAATAACCTTTGCAGTTAGCAGGATAAAGGATGAGTCGTTGATAAACTTGTAGCCCCCCTGACTCCCACCCTGCTGGATCTCAACATTATAGCAACACTACGAGAACATAGCCTGGCTTTGGAGTCCTGGTTTCTGCTCTGCTCTCCTACAAGAGCTGCGTGGACAACCGAGGCTTTGTCTTCCCTGCAAAAGAATAATTTCTAAAGGCAATAACTGTAACAGCGGTAATTATTAATTGTCAGATTTTTCAATCTGAAATGAAATATTTTTTTCTCTGTATTAAGAATTCTGGACAAGAAAACAACATTCCTGTGCCTAAGAAATATGGTCCTATTCATCAAATTTTAATGCCCATAGATTTGTTAAAGTTAACATTCAAGTAAAACAATTTATTCAAAATCAGAAAAAATGTGATGAAAAGCTTTGTTTGACCAAAATCCTTCAGCAGTTCAGTACTTCTGGGTGTTAGGGCATAATATTTTGTCTGAAAGAGTTAAGCATAAATGCAACTAATTCATCTTCTCCAAGATCCCCATGCTTTCCATGGGCCTGGCTGGAGACCTTCCCTAGTCTTTGCTGATAGGACATGAGGGACATGGGGATTTGGGTGGAATTTTAGTTGTTTGTGTCTAAACTGTGGCAGGCAGGTTCCCACTAGGCTCCCACTTTTTTTTTTTTTAATTTCATCTGGTGGCCTTCCCTATATTCAAAGAGGTTTTGAGCTGGATTAAAATCCCTGTACAATTTTTGAAATGCAAATTCAGAAGCCCTCACGCTGGTTTTGGCAGTCCCGGTAAATGGCTGCATGCGAACATCACTGTTACCAGGGCATGGTATATTCGTGGGATCAGCGAACACAGGACTTATTCTAGTTATTGTTGAGCACCCTCTCCTGGCTCTCTTTTCTTTGCAGATAAGTCATCTCATCAATTAGGACTGCTCTGGGATGAACTGCAGTGCCCATTTGAATTCAAAAGGACGTGATTTTAGATGGTGCGAGCTGCTGCTCCACTTTAGGCTGACCAGGTTTTGTTAACAGCCTAGCTGGTTTGCAGCTGAGAAATCCTTCTTCTAGTGGTGAAATTCCTCAGCAAGTTTTTTTTTTTTTTTTTTCTTTCCTCTAATGCTGCTTCTAATTGCTCCAAGAAAAGCACCTGCAGACCTGAGAACACAATGCACCAGGCATAATCTGATAAAGGGATTATGCCCAGCTGGTAAAAGGTTGTTTATTGGGTGACTGAGCCTACATTCACATCTGTCAGAGGATCTTATCTTTCTGTTAATACCTCAGGAGGCCTAAGGCTGAGTCTAGGGATGAATCAGTATGTCATAAAGCAAGTTTATTTGCAGGGATTATGGCAACAAGCAGCAGCTACAATGAAAATAGGTGAAATTGGGGGATTACCACTCAGTTAAGAGCTCCAATGTGAGAAAGAGCCATCTGATTTGTGGATCTCATAATAAATAGAGTTGGGACACATGAAAGTTTTCTTGCAGTTGTGTGACTGTCTGCTTGCCGTGACTAATGCAGTCCAAAATTGCTTACAGAAGTCTTCATAGGAAGGGCAAAAAATCCACACTTTTTATTGCTTGCCTGATATTTTCCATCTACATTCTGCCCTGCAGCTGGGCAATATTATTGCTAAATTTAACTATTCCTAGGAATCTAGTCTGGATCCACCCAGTATCTTCAGGTATCTCATGAGGGCACCTACATTAGATCTTGACTCATCGTCATCTTTGCCATTTGTAGAAGGAGGTAGGCATCCCTAGAGGGATATGCAGATACTCCACATGGCCAGGTTCATGCTTTGGAGCCATCTGCCTTCTCTGAGTTCAGCAGGAGCCTGGCGAGATCATGCTCCTAACTTCAGCCCCTGATGGGTAGGTGGGGAGCTCTGCTGTCCTTACCAACCCTTGTCTGTGATAACTTTCAGAGGCTGATTTGCCCTCGCTATGTACTGCACCTTGAGGCTATCATAGCTACAGTCCAGTAACCAGGCTTCTCCAAGGTGCTAACAAAAGCTTCAAAACAGCATCACAGCCAGTCCCCTGAGTACTGAAAAAGCTTCAAACATGCAATTTAAAGTGGATTTTAAGTGATTTCAGGCTGTCTTAAAGTTGTAGCATCACCAAAAGTCTCTGAGATATTTAGTCTGATTATCAATAAATAAAACTTTGGTTGGACAGATCAAAACCTAAATCTTGGATTTACCAAGATTATTCCTCCCGTGCTATTCTCAGGCAGCTGTTCTTGCTCAGTACATGGTACTGTCAGAGGAAAAGGACACGTCTGAGCACTGGGAACCTCATTACAGAGTGTGCTCCAAACAGTAGGAAGCCAGTTTGTAGTAGCTGAAGATTATGCTACGTTACCTTCTACTTTTTTTGCATTGCACTCAGTGGTTTTGCATACTAACACTGTGTATATGACCCAGGCTTTTATGGAGGGAAGCTATCATCCTCTCCTAGATGCTATCATGGGGCTGTTTGGTGTAAGTAAAGATATCCTATTCAGCTCTTTGATTACAGATTTCTAACCAGCTTTCATTTTGGATTACCCTCAATTAAAAGGTACTTTGAATTTTTCTGCTGTTTAACAGGAGAATAGGAATAAAGGAATAGGTAAAAACAAAGAGAATACAGAAGTATTTTCAGGCCATTGCTAAATCAGAGCAGCAGTGCTACTGAATTTGAGTGGATGTGAGCAGGGGCTATTTCAATTTGTGTGGGACTTTGATACAAGGAAAGAGACCAAAGTCTTACAGATTAAGTCAAGAGGCTCAAAGAATAAATTGACTGCAGCTGAGATCTGAAGCAAAATACTTTGTTTATTTCCTTTGTATGTGTGAGAGTACACCTTTAAACTGCAGGAGAAACTCCCTAATTTGCAATAATGAGATTAACTGGAAGAGAAAAAAACAGCACAGTAAGAGACACCGTATCACAGAGTGCTTGTAGTTATTTGTTCCCTTCTGAATACAGCAATCCTGGCTGCCTTTGTCAGATTTCTAAATCACCAGGACAGCGTTTCACCATGAGCACACGCAAGTATGTCCACTGATTGCAAAAGGCCACTGTCACCAAATTACCCGTCTCATGCCAGTGGGAAAAAAAAAATAATATAATATGACTTTTCATTGTATATTGCTGCTGAGTATAATTTTTGGCAGATAATAGAAGCAAGGGGAGGCAGCAGCATCCATGGAGCAAGGATGGCTAGCCGGGGGGACTCATGGGGATGATGGTGAAGGTAGGATCAGGCTGCTTGCCTGCCCACACTCACTGTGTTGACCACCCTGCCATTTTTCATCCAGGCTGCAGCATTGCTAGCAAGGGCTCCCTGCGTTCACGCTTATTATCTGGCATGGACTTATACAGCACTTGCTGCTGCCGGATCTGGCAGGTCCGTGTCATGATGCATCTTTAGAACATTTCTAACACAACACTAAGTCGGTGATGATGTGGTTTTTTTGCACTCACTCTACCTCTAAGACAGCAGATGTACTATAGCACCTATAGCAGAGGTACTACGGGTACTATACCAACAGAGAACAGGCAAGCTGCAGCAGCAAGAGCTGGGCCCTGCATCTTTAAGTAAGTGAATTTGCTCAGCTAATTGCGTGCAAGTGCTCCCTCCAAGCACCTGTAAATTGTTGAGTTTAATAGGGTGGCAGCTGTTCCTGGCTGCCTGGGCTCTTGCAGCCTTGGAAGTAGTTGGGAGATGAGAGCGGCAACTTGCAGCATGATTATCTTTTTCTCCATTTCCCCTCGATTTCATTGTCATCTTCTTCTCTCTTAAGAGTGCTTAAAAGCTTTTGTTGCTCCTTATAACACCCACAGGAGCTGTTGCAAAGTGCACTTTTTGTGCTTAAGGTTTTAAAGCCTAAAATCTCTGACCTGAAGAGGTTTGGAGAGTAGCTTAGTTTGAAGCCTGCTGTCGTGTAGACACCTGCAAAACATTGAACTTAACACTGGCACAGCTGGAGGGAGGGATGGTGTGTAATGATGGGTGGCTATATTGCTGTGTGGCTGGGTTTCAGTGCCCTGGTTCTCATATAGGAATTAGAGTTAGCTCCTGGCTGACTGGGAGGTGAGTACCTAAATGTTTGGTTGTCGCTGGTTTTAAGATCTTGATGCCTATAGAGGGGCAATTGCCTTCCCTAACTGTGGTAGAAGGGATGTAGAGTCATGAGCAATGAATGAGAGATGGTTTTTAGGTGCATCCAGTAACAGAATTGTGCAAAATCAGAGCGTTCTTAGTCTCCAATTCAATGTTCTTGACTTCAGTGCTTAACTGAGATGTGACTTACCCTAAAAAAAAAATGTACCTAGCCATGGAAGGAATTTGGTACCTGGAATTTGGCCTTGGGATTTTCTGGCTGGGGTAACCCTGAATCTGCAGATGGCAGAGTGAGCAGAAGCTTTAATGCAGGTGCCTACATCAGTTCACGAGGCGTGCTGGGGAAAATCTTCCTTGTGGTACCTTACAGACAACCAGGAAGGGCTTTGACAGGAGATGTGCTGTATCAAGTTTAGCTGGGCTTTGTAAGCCCTTCACTATTCCCAAGCAGGTAGGGATTGTTGGGTTCAAGCTAGAGTTAATTCAGCTGCTTTCAGCTAAGAGGTAGGATGCCATGGACTTTCTAGTCTTTCTGTTCTTGCAGGATAGAAACCTCTATGTGTTCTGTAATCCTCCAGCAACCCTCATCAAGCATTGCCTTTGTGTGTAGCTTCATGCCGTTGTCTGTTCTGCCCTAGGTAGCAAGGTATGTGCTGGCCTAGGCATGTCTCCTTGTGCCACAACTGCATCTGGGAAGCTGGACCTATAGATAAAAACATCTTTGAGGTGTATGGGGAGATCCCCTGGTATAAGAGTACTGACTGTTGTCTTCAGAAAAATAAAGAATACAAATAAATTAAAGACAGGGTGTAGCAAAGCCTGAGCACCAGGCCCTGTTCCCCAGTGCTGTCAGCAATTTAATTCAGCACAGGAGACAAAGAAAGTACAGTAGATCTCACGCCCCAGTCTGACAGCTAAATAGGCTGGCAACCAAAGGATATACCTAGGATGGGTTTTGAAAGCCTGGCCTTTGGTTCTGGAATTGGATTTTTGTTTTCCTCTTCTTTTATTTTTCTTTTTACCAAGTGGCCAGGGACTCTCTGCCCTGACCACAGATTACCTTTTTTGGCTTCAAAGAGGGACTAAATTAACTAGTATGTTAATGAAAGGACAAGGCATGTCACTATTAATAGTGACATGAAATCACTGTGTGAAGGACACTCGGTTACAGACATCCTCAGGAGAGGAGAGTTTCCCAAATATATTAATGGAGAGAAGGAGATAGGACAATTTGTCTCTCTCCCCCACTGCTACTTGGAGCAGCTAAACTGCTTGGTTGGTTATAGGAATTTGGGCATCCCAGCTTAGGGTACGTTGGGTACAAACCTTTAGCCTTCAGCGAAGGCCCTAACAGGGCCAAGCTCTCAGCTGGTGTGGATCCAAGCAAGCTGACTGCCTCCAGTTAGGAGCTGGCTTTGGCATCCATCGGTCAGAGCAAGGGGTACTACTTATGGCAGTCCCAGGAGATGAGAGCTGCTTTGTAGGCAGTGGCTGTTCAGGAATATTGCTGCTGCAGAGTGAGGCTGGGGGAATCAGCAGGATAGGGGAAAAAAAAGATAGTAAAATCATGAAGATGTTGACTTTTGTTTAAACTTGGAGTGGCATTCCCCTGGGAGCTTCTCTGGCCTGGGGGCTATTTGCTGTTTGAGATCATTAATAGCCAGCTCTATTTCCTCCCATCCGATGGGTTGATGCGGTGTTTTCCTATTAATTTGTCTGGGCTCGGAGACAGAGAGGGCATATGAAGATGTCTTCAGGTTGCTGGTACCTTCTGGGATCTCTGGCTTATAGAGGTCTTGAGAAATGTTGACAAGTTCAGACTTGGGGGTATGTTTTCAAAGCGCTTCACAGGGGTTTTGCTGCATGTTAATGGAAGTGTTGAGGTAAAATGTTGCAGAATAATTTCAAGTAGACACTGTGGTGTCTGGCCCTCTTTTTGTGTTTGATTTGTTTTGAGGGAGTGATACTATCTCCAGGAATACGCTAGTCTTTTATTTGGGTTTCCAGAAAGTTTGCTGATATCCCGTTCAATTTGTATGTTGTATATAAAATGGGGTTGCGTGTTTATAGCCCCGATCAGCAGCTGCTGTAAGGGTTACAGCCCAAACAGTCATAGTGACATCTGCTGAAATGTGGCTGGGTTATCACCCATGGAGCAGCTGCCCCAGCCTGCTTCCTTCCCCCTTGGTTTTGTTCTGTGACAGGGAGCAGTAGCCCACTGACAGAGCTCTCAGCTTTGCCTGAGAGGATTTAAACCCGCTTGGAAAGAGGCCCGTGAATTACCAGCGGAGGAAGGTGAAAGATGACCCTTCTGTTTTCCGAATCGTTGTGAGGTTTGGCATCCGAGTCTTGCTGCTCTCTGGAGCAAAGTGAGACAGTCGAATTGCTGAAGGAAAAGAAGTTTTCCCCCTCTTTGTATGTGGGTTTAGCCTTTAATTCTGTCCTAGTCAAGCTTCCCAGTGCTGTCCCTGTGCGTTTCCACAAAGCCTCCAAGCATACCAGCCCCAAAGCCATTTGTACCTGTCCTTCATCCCGGTGCCCTTTATGCTAGGTTGTGGTCAGCCCCAAAACACAGTTGAGTTTCAGAGAGCTGTTCTCTGTACCTGAGATGCCAGACAAGGAATGGACCTGGCTGCAGACATACACAGACAGAAGAAAGGTGATGCTGGAAGTCGTGTGGCACAGAGGCCTCAAAATGGGGCCTACTTCGTTATCGCTAAGGGTGTCCAAATCCTGCGTACTCGGAAGACACCAAGGATAGAAAGCAGTGTAAGTAGGGATAATACTGCATTTATACGACGTGTAGAAGAGCTGGTATGTACGGGTTTTAGCTGTGTGCCATGAGAACTAGCTCCAGAGGGCTCAATGCCTTGTCAGTAGAAGAGCAGGAGTATGTGTGTATTTGTGTGTGTAGGATACAGTTAATCAGCAAAGTGTGCAACCATTTGCCTTAATGGGAGAGATGTACCTTGATCAGCAAATTATCTGCTTGCGCATTAAATTATGCACTGTGATCTCTGAGGTGTATTAAATATTGAAATCAGAATTTTTATCATTAATGGGAACTTAATGAACAACGACATTATGCGCCTCAGTTGGCTTTTGTCAGAAGCAGCCCATTGTAGTTGGAAGGTGACTTTTCTGGGTCTCTGGTGGTAACATGCCAATTATTTCACTTATCAATGCCCCTGGAGGTTCCAAATGCCTACTATGGATGTTTTGCCTCAAACTGTGTATGGAATATGGCCTCTAATATGTAGATAAAAATGATTTTGAATGGACTGGAGGAGAGGCCAGTTTCTACCATGCAGATTTATAGCTAAAGGCATTCCACCAGTTCAGCTGCTTTCATTCTGTGAGGTAGCTTTTAGGATGTGTGGTTTCATTGGATTTTGGGATGATAAAAGCACAACAAGGTGATGCCTTCGCCTACAGCTAATGTGCAGGTGCCTAAATTAGAATATATACATATTCAATGCAAGAAGTGCCTGAGGATAACTCTAGGTAATTCTGTCTCTGAAATGTTTATTATTAGGATTACTGAGGTATCAGAAATCCCAATCAAGATCTAGGACCCACTATAGCAGACAGCCTCCTTGCTGTACAGTTTGAACAAAGGGGTAGAAAGGCACCATAGCTTTTTTCAAGGTGCCTTAACTTGTCAGTGCCAGACCTGTAGCTAAATGGGAGTCTTCTGCTCTTATATTTGCATTACAGTACAAGTATTGGATTGCAGTGTATATTTATGTCAAAATTTTCTTAAAACTAGCAGGATGGGCTTCATCTACTGAAGCAGAAGTCCATGCTGCTGATCTCCCTGTCCATAGTGTCCTTTCAGAGAGGCTTAGTGTGTGCACATCATACCCATTTACACCAAGAAACCACGTACAAAGAAAACTGGAGGCTTTGCAAACTGCTTTACCTGCCTTCTTTCTACTCAAGTGGGTAGGTTGAAGCCAATTTTGGATGCAACTCTGATTATCCATGGCACAGGCTCACAATGGATGGGCAGCAAGCTCCAGTTTCTGGTCTCTGTTCCTCAGCTGGAGCAGTGGAGCTGGATCCAGCTGCATCCCAGGTGCAGTTTGGTTAGGAATGAGTGGAGCCATGGCTCTCCCTGCTCAGGCCCATAGAGTGCAGGCTTAACTATTGCCTTCATTAAGGCTTGTTTTTCACAACTACACGTTACTGCCTATTGAGCAGATGAAAATCTGGTTAGCTTTGCCTCTGACTGTCTTCTGTAAAAGTCTATAGTGAGCCACAGTTTGCCCAGAGGAATATTCCAGGAGAGGAAAGGAAGAATGCAGGAACGATAATAATACAGCCCTGGTGATACTATTGAAAAACAATACTATAAAAACATTTAGGCATGAAAGAATGGTTCCCCCTTTGCAGTGCGAAGGGAATAGCTCCCCAGGGACTTGCTACTGCTCGGAAGAGATTGTGCATCTAGTCTGTCCTTTGCAGACTCACGTGCAGCTTACAGGTATCTTTGAGGTGAGCAGTTATAGGGATGGTGTCTTCTCTTCTACATGGTTCCTGTTCTCTTTATCCCCAAATGGTGGAGGAGAAATAGGTTATATTTGATTATATTCATGGAATCATAGAATGGCTTGGGTTGGAAGGGACCATAAAGATCATCTAGTTCCAACGCCCCGACATGGACAGGGATGCCACCCACTAGATCAGGTTGCCCAAGGCCTCATCCACCTGGCCTTAAACACCTCCATTTATTCCCTCAATTCAATGCACTGGGCTGTATTGTTCCCTTGTTGGCTATAGCTTGCCTGAAGGTTTTACTAACTTTACCATGCAATACATACCTATTGACTGTTTATGCTATTCTGAGGCGATGAAATAAAGGCACTGTTAAACTGTTCACATTTTCTTGTACAGCAGATGCTGGGCTCCTTATCCTACAACCCTGGCAAGGGCTGTTCTAGGATGGGACTTATGTGCAACATGGGCCA